CGCTAAGTTATGAAAATAAATTGGAATGAAAGTTACATTTTTCAACTTGAAATTACAGGTCAAACATAATACATTTCTAAATTTACCCGTAAAATGACAGTGATCTCTAACTTTTATGGTATTGATAAAAGATCGCTTACATATTTCACAATTGCTAGCGTTTTGAAATCGATTTGTTTCTTCACTAGTTAAAGGATTCATTGCTATGTTTGTCTGATATAATTTATCTACTTCTTCTCCGACTTTTATAATAGCTTCCATAAATTTTTTGGCAGCATTTTCACCTCTGTAAATAACTGGTTTTTTAGGTATTTTAAATTCATTAACTAATTCAGGTGGAATGGTTGTGTAATCAATTTTAACATAAAAGCCAAAACTCATCGGTTTGTGTTGAAAAGTTTTAATAGATTTCTGTTTTTCATTTGACTGTTCCATAAGAGGTTTTAAAAAACATTCAAAATCTGCATAGATCACTATTGGTACGCGTTGAGTAGCTATATAATTTGTAAATTTGATTACAGAATCATCATGATCTTCAAGCATAACTGGTCTGCTTAATTTATGTTGAGAACAGAATTTTTTATGTTCTCGTAGTCCTTCAAATCCCCATAATTTATTCTTACAAGGTGTGTTGTTAAAAATAGTAAAACATCGTTTGCAGATATTTATTTGTTCTTTGTGTTTAGTTCTTTGAGACCTAATAAGTCTTGAAAAATTGGATATAAAGCAATAATGTTGTCGTGAAGTGTTGCTAAGTAAAAGTAAGTCAAAATGGTTTCGTTTTTCAATATCGGAAACTAGTATTGGATAAATTAATGATTTACTGTCTAGTCCATATATGTTAATGGAAACATTATTGATCTTTGCAAATTTTCTTACTTCTTTAATCGAAGTTGGGAATGTGATACACTTGAAATCAAATTTATTTTTAGTCTCTAAATAATCAAAATATTTTTTAGAGAATTTACTTTTATTATTAGGCCTATCAAACTTAGACAATATTGCATACTTAAAACATTTTTCGTCGTTATTATTTATGTTAACTATAGCTCTTCTACCCTGAATTTTTTGTGGTAGAGGAATGTATGATGAACCTTCTAAAGGATTTACAACATTTATGCGTAGCTGTATACCATCAATATTTCGAAGAGACCAACCACTACCTTTAGCAATAAATTCACTTTCTTCCTTCAAAAGTTTACCATATATATTATTCAACAATACTGTAAAATCGGATCCTGATGTTGTGAATGTGTTTTTTGTTTTAAACGAAATATCTTGCAACTCAAAAGTTAAAACATTTTCATACACACAATCCAAGTGAAGATTAAATTTAATTGAGTTATTTTTACACGCTTCCTTAATTTTTGGTAAAATAAATGTAGTAGCATATTTGAAAAAAAGTATAAAGTCTAGAAACTTTAACTTATTTTTTAAAAAGAAAGTTTTCGACCTGGACCTAAATCTTCCTATTTCTTGTAAACCATCACCAGTTGAACTCAAACGAATGTTTTTGGTAATTTTCATGTTTTTTTTTTTTTTTCAAACTAGAAATATAAAACCAAGAGTCACATAATCATATACAAATACAACAACAACAAAATTATTGATAAATTTAAATATTTTCTTTTATTGTTTTTATTATATTGTACATTTTTTTTATTATTTCATCATCTAATTTATTTTTTATTTTATTTTTATAATTCTTTCTTCTCCTAGCATGTTTGCTAGGCTTGTCTAGTGCTTTAATTATTTTTATTTTTTCTTTAGGGTTTAATAAAAGTGTGGAAGTTTGTTGTGCCATACCTTAACAGTTTTTGAATGTGTTGACCTTGAGAGTGGTGAGGACTGTAACGATATTCTAAAAAAAAAAAGAATCATGATGTTCATTCTTCATACTATTTTTTTTTTTAAAAAGACACTCAATATTTTCCATCCGTTGGTGACATAATTAAATTATATATTTTTTATTAGCACTGCTATCAAATAAATGACGCGACTTAAATAAAAAAGTATGATTTTAAAGAGCACTACACAACTGGAGTAGAAAATTAGAACTGATAGCTTAATTTATGCATCCGTTGGTGACATAATTAAAATATATATTTTTATTAGCACTGCTATCAAATAAATGACGGCGACTTAAATAAAAAAGTATGATTTTAAAGAGCACTACACAACTGGAGTAGAAAATTAGAACTGATAGCTTAATTTATGCATCCGTTGGTGACATAATTAAAATATATATTTTTATTAGCACTGCTATCAAATAAATGACGGCGACTTAAATAAAAAATATATTTTTAAAGAGCACTACACAACTGGAGTACAAAATTAGAACTGATAGCTTAATTTATGCATCCGTTGGTGACATAATTAAAATATATATTTTTATTAGCACTGCTATCAAATAAATGACGGCGACTTTAATAAAAAATATATTTTTAAAGAGCACTACACAACAAGAGTACAAAATTAGAACTGATAGCTTAATTTATGCATCCGTTGGTGACATAATTAAAATATATATTTTTATTAGCACTGCTATCAAATAAATGACGGCGACTTAAATAAAAAATATATTTTTAAAGAGCACTACACAACTGAAGTACAAAATTAGAACTGATAGCTTAATTTATGCATCCGTTGGTGACATAATTAAAATATATATTTTTATTAGCACTGCTATCAAATAAATGACGGCGACTTAAATAAAAAATATATTTTTAAGAGCACTACACAACAAGAGTACAAAATTAAATGTCTTTAAGTAAAAAATTATTACACTTACATAGCTAAGAATGATATAGTACTGTCGAAAACACTTCACTAGCAGGAGACGGTGTTTCCACTGGTAAAAGACGATCACAGACTGATGTTTAAAACACACGACTAGGCAGTATTTATGCAGTCGAAAGGAGGTTATTCTCCTCCTCATATTATAATTTTAAAGACATTCACAACATATACCACTTCTATAGTGTTATTAAAAAAAAAATTAAATCGACCTCGCATGGAGAATATAGTTAAACGTCTATAGCAGTTAGGTTCCTCAAGGATTGTAACACGCAGCGAGTCGTAGGGTTTCTGTGGTCTGTGGTTAGTTCATTGAATCGTATTGATAAATTTTTTTTTATAGCTATTGTACAATGATTGTTACAATGTTACAACTGGAATGAATAAAAGAAGGTTAATTATCTTTCTCATATTATTATTTCGAAGACACTCTACATGGTATTACAAAAAACAGAATCACCCCACTCCGTACATATTTTCGCTTAAGTTATTTTTACCATGCAAATTTGAACGTTAGCACTATGGTGGGATATTTTTTATTTGTCAAGATTGGTATAAATCGAGAAAAAACATAAACATCAGAGTTATATTAACATTAGTTGTGTGACAGTACAGTTCGAATTTATTTTACAAACAAAATGTCGATTCTGGAATCATCCGACGAGGACTTCTTCGCAGTAAGTTAACTAAATAATAATAATAATATGAATGATATAAAAAATGTTTTTAGGAGACCTCACAGAGAAATGATGAATCAAGCTCGTTTGATCCACCACAAGTGAAGAAACCCAAAGTAGTTAGCAAAAATATAAGAAAACAGTCAAAAAACAACAAAACGGTATTATTTATTTATATACTTTTTTTTTTTTTTTTTTTAAATAGTAAAATTATGTATTTTCAGTCAACAATTTTTCAAAAAGCGTTAAAGGATGCAGTTATTTTAGATGAAGCGTACTATGAAGAATCGATGCTGCTTTTACGTGACAATAATCAAAAATGTGTCATTAATATTAAAACACCCAGTCCAACGTCTTATATAATTATACAAGAATATTTGGTAAATGATGTATTAGGATTATCCTATAGTGAGAGGTGAGAATTTTTTTTTTTATTTTGGTACCAAAACGTAGCATAATTAATTTTTTTATAGATGGCGAAAAGTGAACCGATCTGCTAAAATTGGTCTTACAAATAATAAGGCGAATTCTAAAATCAACAATTTATTGAAAAATCTATTTGATGAATTGGGAGAAAAATTTTTATCAGATGAATCTCGCACAGTAAAAATGACAAAGGAATGATATTATTACAGCTATATCAACTATTTTAAATACATGATGGTGGAGGTTCTTTTCATAATAATAATATTAATATTGTATGGTATTAACGTAATGATATATTGTTAAGACAAGTTATATTTTTTACTTATATACCATTGTTTTTTTTTTCAGTAGTATAGCAGAGGTATAATACCACCTGTTATATTTTATATTAGTATCATTATAGTATTAATATAAATTAGAAATCATTATTTTTTTTTTCAGCAGTATAACAATAATAATAATGGTGGAGAACATTTCATTATAATAATAATATTGTATGATTTTAACGTAACGATATACTGTTAAGATAAGATTATATAGTATTACAATAAAATATTTTAAATTAGAAATCATTGTTTTTTTTCAGTAGTATAGTAAAGGTATATAATAATAATATTAATGTTTATTCACATGTGAAGAAAGTTAACTAAACTCGAACATTACCCACATAAACCGCATAAACACAGATCACGCAGCGTATAGAATACAACTAACCACAGGGTTTCATTGACGCGGTGTGTCTTGTTCAATGAATCGTAGTAATTTTTTTGTGTAATGGTTGCTATGACTCAGATGATTTTATTTATTACAAGGCGAAACTGTTTCACTAAAAAGTAAGTGGAATTTTTTTTTACTATCAAACTTAGTGTATGAGTAAGAGCTGTTAGTTCAAAATGGACAGCGATTCCTATCCATCGTCTGCTAGAACGGTGAGGCGTTGCAAACGACGGCGGCGACCGCGTAAAATCCGAACACAACGGCGACGGATAGGTTCTTACACATCTCTTGAGACTGATACTACCGCATCGCGAAGTCGATCGGTAAGTGTTAATTCCAGTTCTAGTTTTTTTTCATTACCACCCCTACGTCAACGATCGCTCTCGTCGACTTCATATTCTCCTTGGAGCTCGAGTAGCGACGTGAAGTCTTTTCATAGTAAATCAACACTGTGGTTGGAATGTAAGTTTTTTTTATTTAACCCATCGTTTCACACAGAGCACATTTTAAGGTTTTTTTGTACTATACAATTTTTTTAAAAAATAAACTTATAGTTTTTTTTATTTTTTTTATTTTCTAATAATAGTAATTACAAAAAAAAAAAACATATTATCAATTAGTAGTGAGTAAAAAGATACATATTTCTTTAAATGATTCAATGTTCTGAGTTTAACTAGTAATTAATAATAATGGAAAAAGTTTAGCAATCGTGTTCTTCAATATAGGTTTACCAACGATGGGTTAATAAATGAATATTAACATTTTTTTTTTTACAAAATAAGTAACGTACTTTTTTTATTTAGCGGATACAGATGACGAACATGGAATTGGAAATTGGTCTACATCAGAACCATCAATAATTTCGCTAGCAGATTCATGTAAGTTAATTTTTTTTTTATTTGAAATAAAATAATATTTTCTTCTTTTTTTTTTTTAAAAAAAAGGGTCATCAACAGATGTTACTTATGAATCGGATGCAGACGTGTTACCTCCACTTCTGCGTCTTAATCAGCCAGCTATTGAAACCATTTGGCTAACTGATTCGGATTAATATGTAAGTTAGTTTAATTTTTTTAATTATTGTTGAATTAATATTATACTGTTTTTTTTTTTTTAGGGTTTTTAGGCAGGTATTTATTATTGTTGAAAACATGAACGTTAGAGATCACTGTAAGCTGATTTTAAATTAGTAAAATAAAAAAATATTTCAATATATTTTTTTTTTTAAAGGTTAACAGATAGAGTTGTTGGAAATTATTGTCATGTGTACTCTACGCTATGAGACTTAAATGTGAGTAATTATATATATATATATATATATATATATATATATATATATATATATATATAACACAATTGATTAGTTAATAGAATGTTTATTAAACACTTTTTAAATTCACAATACAATTACATTATTTAATAAGATTAATAATACTTTAAAAATAATCCTCGTTCACTCAGATTTTGTTGAATTTTTTATTCTGTAAGCGCTTGGATCGACGAGCATCTGGCGTTTTCACAATTAATACTGAAATATCATTTTCTAAGTTTTGATTAATTATTTTAACACTATTTTTGGTTGCTTCAATAATTATATATTTTAACAAACGACACTTTCGACAGGAGCAGCATTCTAAATGTGAAGCCATTATAATACCTTCTTGTAAGACCGCTATTTCTAAACTAAAACGAGTGAAATATTTTTTTAAATAATTAGCTTGTATACGTTTTCCCTCTCTCAATACATATATTTTTTTTTCCTTTTCGAAATTATACTATAGTTACTAGAAGTTCTCGCATAATCAAATTTATAATTTGATCATAATTAATTTTTAATTCATGGATGAATAGCGCATTTGTATCCGTTGCAAACATTTGAAAATCATAGTTTGCGACAAAAGCCGTTATGAAATCGATACGTCGACATTCACTTGAAAAATTATTAACATCATTAAGTATAGCTGAATATATATCGTTAAAAGATTTTTGATACAACTCCAACTTATTTAAGCGTTCAGTTATATGTGCTTCAATACAATTTGAAATCATCTGAAGTGTTAACAAATTTATACGCGTCAATTTCATACGTTCATTTTTATTACGTAATATCACTGAATCTGTTTTAGGGTTAGTAGTACAACTAAAATCTGAACCTAATTGTATTCGCTTTGCATTGTTTTGAATTGTGTTCACAATGTTGTTGAATATTTGAAATTCCATCAGAGTACGCCACTGTTTTTCATCAAGAATTAGCTGGTCTTGACTATTTTTATAATCTAAATAAACAATAATAGATAATTTTTTATTTAAAAGAATACCTACCGAGATAGTTCTTCAAGATAGCTATCAATCCACATCCTATTAAATTTATCCTAGAAAGTCACGCCTTAACCTACTACGCCACTGCGTCTACAATGTGAATTCATGGTTTTACTAGTATTTAAAGAGTTAATTTAAATGTAAGAATGTTGTAATAAATTAACATCTTTTTTTTTTTATTTAATAGGTTTTAAAATCAATGAGGTGAACCCTTCACTAACCGAAGATAACCACAATCTGGAGACCATCTTGCATGCTCGATCCAAGGTTCGTCGTTCGGCTCCCAAGATCTCAGACCTTGACGACAATAAAAACATGAGACATCATCATTTGATCCATCACCAATATAAATAAAACCGGCTTCACTCATAAGTTCTCGCTTTGAAATAAGTAGTGTATTACTACATTTATCAAAAGTCTTGTTACGCGTTTTACAATCTAAATAGTCTAATGTACAAAAAACATCACATTCACTATTATAATCATCCATTATTATACTGTTTAGATTGAATTAAAATGACTATCATTTATTTGAAACATGTTTTTATATATGATTTATTTCTTCCACTTCTTATTTAGTAAAACACTCAATGTTACAAATAATTTTCTATACTAAACAATATATAAGGTTAAACTATAATTTGTAAAAATGGGCGGTAAAGCCCCAAATTACTACTACTCAAGCCTTAAATAATTCTATCCAAGACTTTTTACAAAATATGAGGTCTATCCAAACAAAACCAGGAATAGCTAGAAAAAGATTGGCAGTTGAACCAGGAAAAAGTGTAGTGACAATTTCTGAAGATAGTGACATGGAACAATTTGAACCACCTATTCAATCAAACTACGTGCCTTCACCAAGCTCTTCAGATACAGAAGAAGAAACTGTTCAAGAATCGACACAAATATTCAGTGTTGAAAAATATGTAAAAACATTTAAAAATATAATTCCTGTCAATGAAAGTAAAGAAATGTATGTTGATGATTGGGTGTTAGTTAGTTTTTAGCCAGACAATAAGAAACCTTCCTGCAGTAAAAATATGAACTTTTTGTACTACATTAGCCAAATTATAAAGAAAATAGATAAAGCCATTTTTGAAGGCACTTTTTTAAGATCAAAAACAACCAGGGATCATAAAGGCATGGTGTATGGTTTTCCAGAAGTCAGAGATGTTTGTGTTTTCAAAACTTCCCAAGTTGTAGGGAAACTTGAAAAACCTGTTCCTTACGGAAGAGGACTGTTCAAGTTCAACTATGTAATAAAGATATAACATCGACTTGAACCTAAACCATAAAAATTATACACTTCTTGCGTACACGTGTTACAACAACGATGTTGTCATCTTCAGCGCTAACAACAGACTGAGTTTCTCACTCTTATGCTCGAAAGGCCCAGACGCCGTTCAACTATGATTGCAAATCAAATTCCTAATCTATTTGTATAACCTAAGTCATAAATTTAGTTGAAATCATAGTTAAACTTGAACGTTTGAACTGTGATTAAAAATACATTTTTTGTTCTATTTGTATTACCACGTCCAAAACTGGGAAAGAAACCCTTAAGACTGACAAAATTAAATTTAAAAACTGTATTTTAAATGTGTTAAGTTTGCCTCAATTGTTATGTTTATTAATTTGTTTATTTAAATATTAAGTTTACCAAATATTACCAAGAAGGTTTATATAACATATATATTTTTTTTTTTTACGTAATAAACAATCTGTATCAGTTATACTAGACACAATAAGAATATGTGATAAATGTTATAAAATCATGAAGTTTTGTTGAAAGAAGCCACCCATTGATAACACTTTCTGTTAACTTGATATTAATTTAATTTAAGAGATCTCGACACCAATTACGCTTCAGACGTCTCGGAGGATTACCAGGTATTGTAGGGGTGGCCAATTTTTTTATTAATGGATTTGGATGATTATTTAGGTGGCTATGGAATCTTTTGTAAAAGATTTTTGCTTCATCATTTATTGTTTTTAATTTTAAGTCGGAATGTAGTGTATGATTTGACACGTAGGGTGGAGCATTCGTTAGTTTTCTAAGTGCAATATTTTGAAAGGCTTGGATTTTCATTATGTTTGACTTTTTCGCATAGCCCCAGAGTTGCAGGCCGTAGGTCCATAGTGGTTTTAAAAATGTTTTATATATAAGAAGTTTTGTTTTAATAGAGGTGTATATATTATTGGTTAATAAGGGTTTGAGCATGTGAAGACGATGATTCAATGCTAATCTTTTAGTTTTGATGTGTTGAGCCCACGTTAGTCTTTGATCTAGGGTGAGGCCAAGATATTTGATTTTAGGAGAGTAGAGAATTGGAGTACCGTAAAGAAGAACATTAGGACAAGGGGTATGTCTGAGGGTAAAGGTTGTATGAACGGATTTATCCTGGTTAACTTTAAACCGCCATTTTGTAAACCACTTTTCCATAGCTTTAAGGTGAGTTTGTAAATTAATTTACGCTATGATTGGATCTTTATTAATAGATATTAACGCTTTGTCGTCAGCGTAGTCAGCTACTGAGGTGTTGGGAGTAGTAGGCTGGTCAGAAGCAAAGATGTTATAAAGAATTGGAGATAAGATGTCACCTTGAGGCACACCAGCATTTATGGAAGCTATATCAGAAAGAGCGGATCAGTGGCGAACTTGAAAATGTCGATCCGTTAGGTAGGATTTGATGAGTAGGTAGTAAGTGATATTATGTTTACACCTGCTTATTTTGGAATAGAGTAAATACATTTTTCAAAAAACTTACTAGTGGATAAGTTAAGCGATCGTTGTTCATTAATCGGTAAGTTACATTGTAATATTATTTGGCCCGATGATCCCGGACCAAATTCCGGCAAAATATACGTTGAAACATTGAAAATGTGTCGGGAACACAAAGGAGCCGACTTCGAGCAGTCGGTAATTTATTTCCAGGATTTTTGGTATAAAAAACCCATAAAATGAAGGGCACTTATGGGTGCGTTCAGCACCGTTGTTTCACCTTAACGATATTGTGTAGGTATTTTTTTTTTTTTTGCAATAATATTTCACCTCAGACTGAACAGTGGTAGGGCCAAAATTTTAGATCTTTACCTAATCATGATAATTTTGTATACTTTTCCGTCCTACCCCTCCACTCCCCCGCATTCCCCTCCCCTCTTCACCAAATGGCCTTATGTGTTTTTCATCCAGGTTTCAGGCAATCGGCACTAATTCTT